ACGCCTTTTCGAACTCAGGCTCTGACACAGTCGCCAAAGGCCTGTTTTTCGTGCCTTTAGGAACTCAAAACATGCCGCGTCCGCCGTTGTTTCTTTTTTTTTTTTTTTTTTTTTTTGCCGTAAAACACAGCTAGGGGTAATGATAAGAGCATGGGGGGGTACTGATAAGAGCATGGGGTAGTGATAAGACACAGCTAGGCATAATGATAAGAGCATGTACCCCTAGCTATATTCATGGGTGGCTCCGATCTATTAGTGGGGAGCATCACATGATGGAAACTGGGTCCAGCGTCCCATGATAACATTCGTCCCATGATAACATTCAAGGATGAACACAGTTAACAGAGAATCCGTCCTAGGTAACTGATAACTGTAGTATTGTACTCATCTGCTAAGGTCTCCCTGCACTACTCTCCACTCTCCGAATTTGGAGAGTTGTTTTTTGATCGCTGCACTAACTATCCGATTCCACCACTCAAGAACCTTCGGATAGCTGTCAGAAACTGCCTTGGAAAAGCACTTTCCGCTGGTGGAGAGTGCCCAACCTGCAATGGTGGTTTTCCGGATGGACCTCCGCCCGACTCTCCAAAATGCTCCAAATTCAAATATTTGTGACCGGAGTCTGGGCGGACAAAGTGCAAATCGCGCCGTGTCCTCCAGTGCTGTCACCCTATCTGCTACCAGTAGTGCACTCACGAATCTGAGTTCAGCGGAAAGCGGATAGTCAGTGCAGCTGTGAACCAAGAATTACGAATTCGGAGAGAAGTCTCCGATTTTTCGGAGAGTGGAGGGTAGTGCAGCGAGACCCTAAGCCAGAGGATCCGAGCTCGGTTCTGTATTTCAAAGGTTGAGGGTTGTACCGACTGAGCTCGGCCAGTTGGTATTCTGTGCAGATTTGTCAGGCGCCATACTGCTATTGCTGTGCTGTGAGGGCATACTGGTAGCAGTCCCTTTTTTTCGTTTTTTGTTTTAAAGCCCAGGTTGTTGTAGAGGTTGGATGCTAGACGTTTGACAATCAGCAGTCTTTGCACAGACCTGCTGGGAAAGCCTTTTTTTTTTCTTTTTTTTTTTTTGTCAAGGACTCAGAAGACCCTAATAGGTGGGGTGATACCAGCAGCCCCCCCTACTCAGATCCATTCCGGTCACTCCATCTCTTGGTGGGGAGCAGCACCTGCTGGAAAGCCCTATCATCCCTCTATCAACTTACCGGGATGTCCCTCCTTTTTTTTTTTTTTTTTTTAAAGACCCCGTACAGTCCGAGTTACGAATTTTCCTCCTCTTCCTCTTCCTCCTCCTCCTCCTACTACTACTACTACTACTACGACTACTACTACTACTACGACTACGACTACGACTACCACTACTATACTGCTGCTACTCCACCTTCTCCTCCTACTCCTTTTCCCTCTTCAAAAGAGGGCATTTCCATCTAGTAGTAGTACCAGGCAATTGGTTGATCCCACTTCAATTCCTTTAAGTAAGAGAGTACTGATGGCCTTTTGCGATACTTTTCAGAAGTGATGGCGTCTACTTGTGACAAGCACCACCCCCACCCTAACTTATCCAAGGAAGATAAGGCTGATTACTCTTCAAATCATGGATTGCTGAAGCTGGATGGGTTCTGCATCTTCTCCATAATAGTCCATAGCTGACAGCCATCTCCTTTTTCCTATCTAATCGATTTCGGACTTTGGAGTTGAAAACCATACAGTTGTTCATATCTGCAAAGCCGTCTGTATTCTCGAACAGACTGATGATACGGTTGATTACCACATGAGTATGGCTGTCAAGGGTTCCAGGGGTGGCCGTGGGGAAGATGATTGGGGGGGAGGGGGAGGAGGGGGGGATGAATTTGGATGGTGGCGGAGAGGTGGGGGATGGGGGGGAATGGGGGAAAGACTGGAGAGGAGACGGCGAAATGGGAACTGGAGAGGAGGTGGGGGCACGGGCGGGGACAGGGCCGGGGTTGGGCTCACCTTCCCATTGGACCAGCCAGTGATAACCTCGGGAAAGCCGTCTCCATCGATATCGAAAGCACATATGGAATTTACAAAATGCCGGCTTTTCACTCGCCAAACCCTGTTTACCTTCTCAAATCCCACAGCCAGCAGTCACCCACCCACCCACCCGCCCACCCTCAGAAACCATGACCATTGATCAGAAGAAAAACAAAACAAAACAAAAAAAAAGCAGTGATAGCAATTAGAATTTTTTCTGTTTTAGTTGTTAGACAGTCAAAATCATTGAATTCGGCAGCTGCACTGAAGCAACCCCCTCAAAAGAGTCCGATGATATTTGAAAGGGGTTCTTGCTGGTTACCCGATAGGGAAAACTTTCCCTATACAGAAACGTTACATCCGATTGTCTCGGTGCCCGTCCAATCCCTGGCTCTTCGTTCCACGTCCTGTGCGCAAACGGAGCGGGGTGCCCCCCTCAGGATGGCCGGACTGCGGACCGAGATGAACGGGCAAAACCAAACTGAGTGGAAACGCTTGCCACGTCATTTGTCAACGTTTTCCGAAGCTGGTATGGCCGAGACACAGGGGAACCCCTCCAACAGAGCTTTTAGGGGACTGATCATGATGGACAAGGGTATTGGGAGGAACTGGCAGTCTGCCCCAGTTGCCCCCTGGGTACAGAACCCGCCTCCCCACCCCTCTCGCACATCAGGCCAGGCTACTGAAGACACTGTGGGAAGTTTGGTACCCCAGCATACAAGGGAGAATTAGCAAAGCATTGTTCGTCAGGCGCCCGCTCAAGGCTGGCAGGCAATTTCATGATCTCAAAAAAGGATGAGAATATTGGTTTTCCGTTTTCCCGTTTTCTCCCTTTCTCAGCAACCTGCACCGTTAATCCTCTGGCTACCAGTGTAATCAATGCTGGCAGGCCTTTGCTTGCACCGTTAATCCTCTGGCTACCAGTGTAATCAATGCTGGCAGGCCTTTGCTCAGTCTTTTTTTCTGATATCCTGCTCCGTTAGTCCTCTGGAATCCAGAGTAATCAATGCTGACAGGCTTTACTAGATACTGATTATCTTCTGATGTTTCTGGTTTTTTCTGATTCATTCTGTGTACAAGGGACGTTGGACCCGTTTTCCAGCAAGTGATGCTCCCCACCAATAGAAGGAGCCTCCCCACAGGTGCTAGCGGTGTCTGCTTTTACCAGCACCGCTAGCACTGGTGGGAGTGTCTTGTGTAAAATAAAATAAAAAAACGTTTCCCGAAGGTTTGCCGCAAAGCAGTGGGGTCCAACTCTTATTTAAGTTGAATACTTAACCAAATTTTAAGGTGCAGGACTTGTAAATACTTGATAACCAACCAGTGACTCTTGTGAAGGCTGAATCATCATTTTTTTTCCCCTTGTCACCTGTCCTTTTCTTTTTTTCAACCCCAGGTAAATAATCAGAGTCATTTTTACTCATCTGATTCCATCCCTATTCGAACTCAGGTCTGTATTTCTGCAGTTCATGGGTGTACCAACTGCACTAGGCCAGTTAAACCACCAGTACCTCGCCCAGCTATAAAAAAAAAGTCGCGGCCGTTAACGCGCCGCGACTTTCGGGGGTCGGGGACTTGAACGACCGGGAGGAGCTCTTTCTCTTTAGAAAATAAAATAACCCAAAAAAAAAAAAAACGAGATACCACTTCAAAAAACAAGAAAAGAAAAAAGAAAAAAGAAACAACAAAATTCAAGGGCGCGGGGAGGGTTCTCTCTCTCTCTCTCTCTCTCTCTCTCTCTCTCTCTCTCTCGTGGTTGCTGCGCCACTAAAATTGTGAAAAACGGGAATGAATCTTCCGCCACAAGGCGGCATGATTCATTCGCGTCCCTCAGTCGACTCCCCCGCAGTGAAGGCAGAGAGAGAGAGAGAGAGAGAGAGAGAGAGAGAGAGAGAGAGAGAGAGANNNNCGGCTGGCCGCGTCTCTCTCTCTCTCTCTCTCTCTCTCTCTCTCTCTCTCTCTCTCTCTCTCTCTAGCGCTTTTGCTAGCGCGACTACCATGAAAAATGGGAATGAATCTTCCGCTACAAGGCGGCAAGATTCATTCACTTTTTTGTTGTGTGGACTGCCCAGCCGTCGTGAAGGCACAGAGAGAGAGAGAGAGAGAGAGAGAGAGAGAGAGAGAGAGAGAGAGAGAGCCGTGCAATGCGCGGGCTCTCTCTCTCTCTCTCTCTCTCTCTCTCTCTCTAGCGTTTTTGCTAGCACGACTACCATGAAAAATGGGAATGAATCTTCCGCTAGAAGGCGGCAAGATTCATTCACTTTTTTGTTGTGTGGACTGCCCAGCCATCGTGAAGGCACAGAGAGAGAGAGAGAGAGAGAGAGAGAGAGAGAGAGAGAGAGAGAGAGCCCGCGCATTGCACGGCTCTCTCTCTCTCTCTCTCTCTCTCTCTCTCTAGCGCTTTTGCTAGCGCGACTACCATGAAAAATGGGAATGAATCTTCCGCTACAAGGTGGCAAGATTCATTCACTTTTTTGTTGTGTGGACTGCCCAGCCGTCGTGAAGGAAAGTGCAAAGATGGACGCGGCCAGCCGTGCAATGCGCCTCTCTCTCTCTCTCTCTCTCTCTCTCTCTCTCTCTCTCTCTCTCTCTCTCTCTCTCTGTCTCTCTCTCTCCACGCGACCCAAAGCTCTCTCTCTCTCTCTCTCTCTCTCTCTCTCTCCACGCGACCCAAAGATGGAAAGTGCAAACGGATATCTTTGTTTTTCAATTTCTTTTTTTTTTTGCAGAAGAATGTCGAATTTTTTTCTTTTTGTCTTCTTTTTTTCTTCCCATGTGTACCTACCGGTAGCTCGAGGCTCGGCAAGGTTCGGGATACCGGTAGGCTGAGCCACGGGCCTTAACAACCGCTAGGTACTGGTGGTTCAAAGCAGAATCGTCACCAAACGTTACTACTTTAGTATCCAAAAGTTTATCGTCAAAAAAAAAAAAAAAAAAAAAAAAAAAAAAAAATCATCTACCTTTTCAGAAATTTCTGATTCTTTCACTCAT